GTAATTCCAGCACTCGGCAGGCTAAGGCAGGATGATCACTGTGAGTTTGAGGCCAGCCTGGGCTACATAGCAAGACACTTGTCTCAGAAAAACAAAAACAAAAAAAATCTGCCTGTTTCTGTAGCTTGAAGGTCCTATCACATAGTGTTGATGCATGAGGATGCCAGAATCTGTCAACCCCATTCCTACTTTCTACACGGCTCTGAGAGTAAATACCATTTGCTATACGTGCACAGCTAAATGTGTATATGCACAGATCTTCCTCACCCAGCACAGAGATGCAGTCATCAGTGGCCCCTTCAGGACACAGCATCTGTACCCTTAAACACATGCATTTGAGTGCAAATAGAACAGTTTATGTGTAAATATTTTGTACTGCCCAGAGCACTTTTGAAAATGATTGTTGGTTCACCTGGACTGCGGCGAGGGCAAGATCCAGACAGAATAAGAATTTTTAACTCCATTTTAGAATGCAGCCACTAGGTCACAAGGGTACCGCTAAGCTGTGGTGCTTGGTAGGTTAGGAGTGTTAAATGTGTGGTGGCACATGCCTGTAATCCCAGCAACCGGAAGGTTGAGGCAGAAAGATTGCCGAGAGTTCAAGGCCAGCCTGAGCTACCTAGTGAATTCAAAGCCAGCTTGAACTACATAGTGAGACCCTGTCTCAGAAAACCAAAAAAAAAAGTGTTAAATAAATTTTTAACTTACGATAGATTTCTCAAAGTGTAGCGTCAGTGTAAGTTGGGAGTATCTACATAGTCATGAAAGAGAAAGATATTTAAGCCCTGATGAACAGTTTTTTATATGTTGAGGGCATAAATTGAGTCTATTCTGCCTGTTGATTTTACTTACTTGATTACTGGACAAAGCTCTGATTTGTAAGTAATGATGCATGTTTTGCAGTGTAAAGATTTGAGTTTTTCCCAGTATGTGAAAGGAGAAAGATTTTCTGGTTTGTGAAAAGAGAAAGAATAGTAGTTGGAAATACGGTGGCATCAGTAAGGAGTACAGATAAAACCAAGACATTATTTTCAAGCCAATCAAATTTTACTTACTTCTTAAACTACTTGCCAAGACTAAATTATTCCATAGACTGTACTAATTATGATCTAATAGAGTGAATTGTAGCAGTGGAATGATTTGTTAGCTGCAAGTTAGTTTTATTTTTCTCATAGGACAGTGTAGGAAAATGTGGTAGTGTGAATAGATTTGAGTAAACTACTAAATTTTTAAATTAAATTAAAATGTGTACTTAACATTGTGGTTGAGATTTTTCACATAAAAAATGTCAGGAAATTCTAAGTTACAGTTCCCACAACAGCAATATTTCAGCTGAATTGCACACATGTATTAAGGCATTAAAGTTAACACTTCGTGCAATCATGTAATAAACTACATAGGCATAAGAAAGCAAGTTACGGTAGCTTTGGGAACCATCATTTTGCATTTCCTGACTTGTACATTCAAAATCTGAGTTTAGATGCACACCAGTGTCATTGTATTAAATCTCCATATGTACAAATACAGCTTCATAAATTGCTAACGGTTTCATAGAAAATACAGAATTGTTCGTGAAACTTATCTAGACTTTTAAATACTTATTTTAATGATGAAGAATATTTTATAAATATAAAGGATTCATTCTCATAAAAACATTCAGGCCAAAAAATACGTAGTTTTAAAGTTAACATACCTGAATTTTGGAGGGAAATAAGTGAAAACAATCTTATGGTGGGTTTGTTATACTTTATTATTTTTGTTGTGGAAGTATTATATACCTATTAAAAATGAAAACTGCATAAAGAAAAACAATCATCTCTCTCCCTCTTCATTTCCACCACTCCTAAGCACCCAGTGTTAGCTGCATACTATATCACCTTCTACATCTTGCTCCATTTTCTTTCTAATTTAAAACCATCTATACAGGAGAGGTGTTTGGTTGTTGGTACAAAAATAGAATCATGCTATATATAGTGTACAGTGGACCTTCAGAATTCACAGGAATCACATTCCCAGGGCACCTACGAATTGTGAAAAAAAACGCAGATTTAAGTATGGTCAGAGAAATGCCTATAAGTGCCTATTATGCTACTGTGACGTAACTCTTTAGTTCCTGGAGCAAATCCAGTAGTTCAGCGCTCTCCTGGAGTGTCTTAAACTTCTTCTGGTGCTTAGTTTCATGCCAGAAGCCTTACGAGGTGCAGGGCATTTTGGTGACATGTTAGGGAAGTTAGAAGTTCAAGAAAAACAAATCTGAGGGCACTGCAGATAGCTACACTAGCTGCTGGCAGGCAGTACAGCAACCTGTTAGGATGTGGGAATGCTGGTGCATCTGCCCTGATGGCTTACAAGGTAGCAGCCAACCACTAGCAAGTGCTCTCCGATTGGCTACTTGCAAACTTCCAACCAAAATAGTAATTGTGGAAGAGGTTTGGGGTTTCTGTGAAATTAAGGGGGTTTTGCCATGAACAATTACTAGTCAGATTCTAAGGAAAAATCCGCCAACAACTGGGGACATGAACTCTGAACCACAACTTCATGGGGGGTATACTGTATTTTAGCATGTAACCTGCTTTGGATATCCCTCTAAGTCAGAAGGTAAATTAATTTTCTTTATCAACTGCCTACTATTCTACAGTATAAATATATGGCATGTTACTCAGTTTTTCCCTTTTTTGATAGATATTCAAGAGCTATCTCTTTTTTTTGTCACTTTAACAGTACTGCAGTAAAAATTTGTGAGATATATTCTTATATATTGGTGCTTGTATTTATCTTGTATTTATATGTAATGTTTCCCAAAACAGGATTGCCAGTACAATGACTATTTCAAAAATACTGTAAGGCTACCAGGCCCAGTGGTACATGTCTTTAATCCCAGCCACCTGGAGTCTGAGGCAGGAGGATCACAAGTTCAAGGCCAGCCTAGGCAACTTAGTAAGACTCTGTCTCAAAATCCAAAACAGTGGGAGTATAATTCAGGGGTAGAATACCCATGGGTTAGATTCAATAATAATGATGCCAGATTTTTCTCAAAATATTATACTAATATATGACAATGCTAATTTTAACTTAATTGGTTAAGAAAATTTCATGATTGCTTTAAATTTTAGTTCTTTATATAACTCTTTAACAAACACTCTGTGCCAGGCACTTTACCAGACTTAATTCATTAGATCCTCATAATAATTCTATGAGGTATATAAGTGCTCTTATTTATCCCATTTTACAGGCAGAAGAACTGAGTTATAAAAATGTAAGTTACTTGCCTAGGTATATAGCTAATACTGGAACCAGCATTTGAATCCAGGTGTTGTGTACTTAGGGTCCATGCTCTTTAGTATTATTTGCTGCCTATACTAGTGTACTTATTATTTTTATATTTTTCTCTGTCATTTGTAAGCACTTTTTTATGTAATATAAGTATTTGACCATGTATTGAAAATGTTTTCCACTCCATTACTGGTCTTTTCTCTCTTTTTTTTGGTGGAGGGAGGGTATTGTAAAAACTCTTATTTTACTCCCTTTTACGTTTTAGATGATTGAATATGTCTGTGTGATTCTGGTTTTTAAATACTTCAAATAATTAAGGATGTTTCTTTAAAGTAAATCATAATTATTATACAAGTCAGATTATTTGCAGCAGTGATTCGTATTTTTTTTTTAATTGGTTGTGTGCTATCATTTTACTCCTAAGGTTCTTATTGATGTATGTATAATTATGCTTTGAAAATTATTTGTCCCTTCGATTTCTCAGCTGTTGAGTGCCATTATAAGCTCGGAAACATCTGGCTCCCTCTGCCCTCTTGTCCAGCATCGTCAGCATTTCACTGCTCACCGCATCTTTGTCTCAGCTTATGTTTAAGCATAACCTTCTCTTAACTCCTGAGTAGTTTTTAATGAAACTACTCAAATACACCTTCTCAGTAAGGCCTACGAAAAAACCCTATTTAAAATTGTGACCCCCTTCCCTCCTTGTACTCCTAGTTTGTTTGTTTGGTTTGGTTTGGTTTGGTTTGGTTTGGTTTGGTTTGGTTTGGTTTGGTTTGGTTTGGTTTGGTTTGGTTTGGTTTTATTCTACTCTGTTTACTACAGTGGTACCTCAGTTTATGAACTTAATTCTTTCCATGATTCTGTTCGCAAACCAGAATCCGATTTCCCCATTAAGGTCAACATTGACCTTAACCATTGAATTTGATTCAGTTCTTGTCCATTTTGATTTGCAGCCAAAATTGTGGGAAGAATTAAGTTCGTGAACTGAGGTACCACTGTATTTCCTTAATAGCACTTTTCACCTTCTGACATACTATATAATATAGTTGCTCTTAGTACTCCTTTTTAGTTCATCATTCACTAGAATCTAATTCCTCACAAAGACAAGAGTCTCACTAGCACATGGTATGTGCTAGTAAAATTTTTAAGTAAAGAACTAAATTCATATATGCTAAGTAGGAAGACAGAAAGAAATAAGATACTGTCCCAGCACTGAAATAATTTATGGAAGAGACAGATTCACTTCAGCACATTTCTTTGATTGAGGAATCTACAGAAAGTTCAGTAAGAAGAGCAGCACTTCAAAGAAGTCAGCTTCAGTGAAGATCTCCCTCAGACACAATTTGAAGATCATGGAATTGGGGATGGGGATTTAGCTCAGAGGCACAGCGCCTGCCTGGCAAGCGCGGCATCGTGAGTTCGATTCCCAGTACCGGGAAAGAAAAAAAAAGAAAATCATGGAATTAAAAGATGTGCAAACCCATTTTATGTCTCTGTACATAAACGTGTATGTGTCAGTGTGTAAGATGTTAGAAGAGGTATGTAGTGAATAATTAACGTGAAAGTTTAGATTTGTAAACAATCCTTAACATCTATAATCAGATTAATCTGTACTTTTTTATTATTCAGTAATTATAATATCTGGTATATTCTATTAATATATCGCCATCTTTTCATATTTAAGCATACCAGTGATCTCTAATACACATTTCTTTTTCTCTAAACAGAGCATGTGACCGTCTACGTTGTATAGCCTGTGATTTCAGGGTAGTGAGCTACAGTGATTATATGTGGGACAAATCATGTGATTATCTGTTTTTCAGGTATGTTTCTAAAGAATTTCACTCTGTGAAAAAAGGACTTTACATTTTTTCTTTTGCTGTATTGTCTTGGATGGACTTGGCCAGATTGTATGACCTTTCCCTCTTCGATATTTCTGTAATCCATCTTTTCCTTTCTTCTCTGCTGGATATGCAGGTAGCCTTTTCACTGATTTTTGTACCTAAAACCTTTTCAAACTTGCTCAGAATTAAAGCATAGCTCTGAGTGTGGCATTCTTCCGATGCTCATGGAAGAGACCAGATTCCATAGCATGGCATTCAAGACACACCATGGTCCAGCTTTGCCCCCTACAGTGTGCCTTCATCCTCCTGAGATCTTAGCTACATTCCTCTCCTCAGTGCCCCATTCCCTCTGACTGTGCAAGGTCCCCACTGTCTGGGACACCCTCCCCTGCCTTCTCTGTCCCTTAGGCTGCAGTTCATCAAGCATCGTCCATGGTTCCCTCGGCACTCTCTCAACTTCAAGTACTCTCTTCCTTCCCTGCATGTCCTCGAGCACTTCATACCCGTATAACCCTGAGGTCATATAGCACTGAGGATCTTAAGTTGTTTTCCAGTTACCTTTCTCGTCATCAGGGTAGTGGCTTACTCATATATTTACAATTTGTACATTCTTACATACTTATAGAATAACATTGTTAAGGTGTTACAAGTTGCCAAAATGTATTTTATTATTTATTACATGTTTAATAATAATATATTAATACTATAAGTATGTTAATTATATTAGATATTAATGATACATATTGATAGTATAAGATAATAAAATAATCATTTATTATTTATTACATGTTTATTATTAAGATTTCTTAATAAAGTACATATTATCATGCGTTTTGGCCTGCTAGACCTATGCCTAAACAAAGATTGTTTTCAGCTACAAGCAATCCCAGTATATTACAGCACTTCTCCATACACAAAAAGATGAGACAGCTGGAGGGCAGCTGTAGTGTGTAGCATGTATGTGAGGCCATGTTTTGATCCCCAGCACCACCAAAAAGAAAAAAAACTGTGAGACTGACTTTATACAGTCATTCTCAGGTAAATATCGGAGTCTCTTATTTATTTTTTTAACATCAAGAACCACTCCGAAAATCTTACAAATGCTCTGAGTTCTTCTCATTCACACATACACGCACTCAAATACACAAATATATAGAAAAACTGTGCTTCCAGGGTTTGACAGTTTTCAAACCAAATAAAGCCTACTATATTCCCCAAATGCTGGCCCAGAACCACTACTCTTAAATTTAGCCCACTTTTTATTCCTGTCATTGGAAAAGTTCAGTTTCATTTCGCCTTTTCTGACTTCTCTAAATCCTGTGCTGTTTACTGTCTCCCGGCTAATCTCATAAGTGGTAATAATCTTCACATGTCACAAGATGGACCTTACATTTTTGTAAAACTATCGTAGGGTAATAAGATTCAAAACGGTGATAAGTGCAGGCGTAAAGTCAGCTTGTAGGTGACTTACTTGATCCTTGCAAATGTCGTAAGCGTGAAGAGCACCGTCTGGGGGTTGGGAGTGTAGCTGAGTGGAAGAGCGCTTCCCTAGCCATGGGTTCGATCCCTAGCACTGCATTATAAACAGAAACCTGTTGCTTTACCCCAGGTCTGCGGCACCCTGGCTGAAAACATAGTTACATTTTTAGGTGAAACAGGGACTACTAGAAGATTTATTACACTAGTAAAAATAAAGAAGTAGTTATTATTTAAATCAGTGTAAAACTACCTTCTCAGCCCTGGAGATGCTTAGGAATGTGTTTGGGACCTAAGCGAATGGTACAACTAGAGAATAAGGCTGTCTCCACAGTCAGATGTAAATTGTTGCTAGGACAGTAATTTTGTAGAGGTGGGGGTGTTTCCTCATCCAGCAGACATTACTTAGCACCTAGTTTCTAATTGTGGATTCATAAAATGAAGAGGACCTAGTTTCTTTTAAGTAACCACAATTCTGGGAGATGTGGGAACACATCATGCCTTCAAAATGGCAGTAGAACAAAGCTAAAAGAAAGGATATCATAGGGCAAAGTGGATACCTTTCACTCTGCAGCACGACGGGAGGCTTCTCAGAGTCTTGGAGAGTGTGCCTGGCAAATAGGATTTGCCTAGAATATGGAGTGGTACTCTGCTAGGTGGTATACCCATGTTTGTAGCAGCACAGTTCATAATGGCTAAATCCTATAGGAAGCAGCCTATATGTCTACCAAGAGATGAATGGGTAAAAACTTGGTATTTACACACAATGGAGTACTACTCTGCCATTAAAAAGATAAACTTGAACCATTTGTGGAAAAAAGGGTGTACCTTGAGCTCATAATGTTAAGTGAAATACATCAGACACACAAGCTTAAATATGGTGTGATTTTACTTATATGAGAAACGCAAAATATAAGTAAAGGGAACAAATATAGATAACAGGAAGTAAGGAAATAGATCTTTCACAAATGGAAAGGGAATCAAAAGATGGAGGGAAAGAAAAGGAAGGGAGGGGGGTAGGGAGGGAAAGGGAATGAAAAACATTTAAACATGTTATGTACATGTGTTAACGCCCCACAGAGAATGTAATCATGACATACTGCAAACATGTACTTAAAAAAATGAAAAATAAAAAAATAATAGAGACAGAGGCGAGACCACATAACATGTTTGGGAAGTTAACGTGTGGCTCAGCCATACCAACTTGGACACTAGGGCAAGCGGTAAAGTCATCGAGAGAGGTCAGAAAGACCCAAAGGAAGCCGTCCTGGGGAATTTGGGTTAATTCTTTAGGCGGTGGGTCACCGTTGAAGTTTTAATCAGGAGGGAGGTCTGAATAGATTTGAATTTTTAAAACTGAGTACTACATGGGAACCAGTCTGGTCCAGAATCATGGGCATTTAAAAAAGGGTGTTATAATCTGGTGAGAAAGAAATCATCTGAGTTGTGGCAGTGAGAAGGACAGAGAGGAAACGATGTAGTTTAGAGGTAGACTTGGCTGTGGAAAGTAAGAGACAAACATCGTAGGATGAGGCCTGTCTAGCTTGCGTAGATGGACTATGATACAGTCCATTGATGAGGGGCTTTAAGAACAAGTTTAAGGGAAGAACCCTTGTGTTCATTTATGGGGGCTGTTGAAACTCTCTGAAGCTCAGGGAGGAAAGTAATCTGTGAAGTGGGGTGGATTATGTAGGGATGCAGTTTGCATGACTGTGAGCAGATGCAGGGATCATTCTGCTGAGGCACTCTGAGGCTTATGTTCTGAGTGGGAGTGTGGACATGGGCAGGGACTGGTAAGTAGAGGGGTCAGGCATGCTGGTGGAAAATGAGCCGTGGACAGGAAGAGGAAGAGCAGCTCCTCTGCACAGGAGGGAAGGCGGTCAGATTCTGATGTGTTGGGAGGGAGCTTGCTAGCAGGCAGAATGCTTTGCTAATCTACGGGCTTGGTTTTAAGAATAAGGGTGTGATCTGCTCCAAGTAAGGTGCTGGAGGGAAGCTGAAGCAGAGAAGGATGGGGTCTGATCGCCGAGGGCAAGCACAAGCAGATGGTGGGCAGAGGGATGAGCTTGAAGGTCTGCAGAGGCCGCTCCCTGAGGGTCCCGCAGAGCACAGCAAGCTGTCGATTTTTAGTGTTGTTAGTCTGCATGTTTGTCACAGCATGAAGTGCTGTGCAGTTGTTTGTGGTCCTTATTTCACAAAGAGCAGAGGTAAATGTATCCCAGCCTTTATCTTTCTAAAAATGAAATAAACTACCCTTGTTAACCACCTGCCATTATAACTAAGATACTTTTACTTTTCTATTAAGACAAGTGTTCCAAGGAAAAGTAATGGAATAATTTCTTAGGTTTAAAAACATTTGAGATGTCTTAAACAGTTCCCTCGCTACTCCTGAATCCTATTCCTAAAGTCTCTAAGAATTCAGTCATGTATCATATCCTAAGTTTGTCGATATATATTGGAGATAGAATAAAGGACATTCCTTCATTTAACCAATTTAGATTCGTTGTTTTTATTTTTTCTGATAAAACAAATTATTCAGTTCTTCCCCTAGTTCACCGCACTAGGTTGTCAGAGTCTCATTTTCCTAAAATCAGACATTTGACATAGGAGTTCTTTCAGGTTTTGTTAGGCTGTAACCTAAGTAGTACAGTAGTACTGGACACGGCACCCACTGGCCGCCAGAGGGCACCTGGGAGCCCACTTTCTGTTGCAGTGATTACCACAAGGAATAAAATACTGTCTTTTTATTGTCATTTATACTGTCTTTCATCATTTCACTTTATTTTTTATTGTTTTATTTTTAATGTCTACTTTTCTTTGTCATTTAATATTTACATAAGCTCAGTATACGAATTATAAAAATCATTATCTATTTCTTTAAATGTATAGTAACCTCATTACTTTTTTATAATGGCATCAGGTCTAGTGATTACTATCATTTTTGTGATGGACTTGATAATTTATTTAGTTATTTAACGTTATTAACATTTTTTCAGTTTTTATTTTTGTATTCGGCCATGTTTGCAGTACATAGTGATCACATCCCTTGTGGGGAGTTGGCTCATGTCAATAACACATCTTAATTCTTTTTTACCCCCTCCCCTTCCTTCCTCCCTGCCCCCTGCAAGATTACTAGCATTCATTTCAGGATAGGCATTTACTATGTTGCTGATAATACCAGTAAATAAGCAAATCATTGGAAACAAATGAGTTCAACATACAGAAACACCGGGCACTTTCTCTCTGTGAGAATGTTCTGTGCTTAATCCATCTGAACCCTATTGCCTTTATGCCTCTCCTGCTCCCGCCACCTGCTGTCCTGTAGGCCTCGGTGGTGCAGGTGAGGATGGGAGGTGGGGCTGACGCCGTCCCTCCCACTCCGCTCTTGTTCGTGTCATCCCTGCTAGGACAGATCAGTAATTCATCCCTGTGGGTCATCGCGTTCTTCTATAGCCTTAATAAACAGGCCTAGCTGATTGCCATTAAAAAGTACTGAGTATTAGAAAGAGCATCAAAGCATATATTCTACTGTTAGTGTGGAGGGACCAAGGTCACTTGATGTTCAGATACTATAAAAATAACAAACTAAAATGATTAGAACTCTTTTTGGGGGGCAGCATTAAGTACTGACAACACCACCAAGCTAAAACCTTCCTGTTTTGCTAATAGGAACAACATGCCAGAATTCCACAAGTTAAAAACAAAGTTGGTACAGAAGAGAGGAACCCGGGCGTATGCCTGCCAGTGTAGCTGGAGAACCGTTGGAGAGCTGACTGACCTGCAGACAGACCATCAGCTTCGTTGGGTTTGTGGCAAACATTAGGAATGCAGACTTTCCCTGTTTGGACGGAGGCACCCATGAAGCCAGTCTCCAGTCATCACCCTGTGTATGTAAACGTGTGTAGCAATATCATGCTCTTTGAAAAAAGACAGTGATTTGCATTTAACTGAAAATTTTTGAAGACCAGATGAACTGAGGAAGACAGGTGTACCCTTCAGCACCTGGGAATCACTCCTTTTTGATACGTGGATGTTTCACTTAGTAAGGTAACAAACATCTAAATTCTTTGCTAAGAGGAAGTTTCATTACGGAGTTTGGCCCAAATACAGAGCCCGTCAGCAGTTGCAGTCTTGCTCATCGCGGTACAGTTAGTGTGAACTTGCTCATGGGTAGCAGACAAGTGGAGGAAGCTGGCCAGGGCAGGGAGGACACCGCAGGAGAGTTGCAGCTCCTCCTCCAGCCCAGAGACCCTAATTCAAACAGGGCAAAAGCCTGATGATTGTGGCCGGCTGAGAGATTGTCAGGAGACCTGTATGTTCTGGAGCGCTGCCTTATACCTCATCTTACCTCGCAACTCAAAGCAGTGTTACTTACAGTAATAAGCATGTATTACCAGTTCTTACTTCACCTATTGTTGATCTAGATATCAAACGCTATTTAGTTTTCTATCTGAACACATATCCTTTATATATAAAAAGTTTGACATACCAAAGATCCTACTACAACTTGTTGGATTTTTCAAGTACTCTTTAGCTTTTAATGCTTAAAATCCCATCAAGTAAAAGCAAGTAAGATCATTTTTCAGGCAACCTGAGTCTCTCTGGTGGGATCAGGTTGATACATTATTTATTAAAGGAATACATGAAAAGAGAAATTAAGGATAACGTGCCACCAGTTAGCCCATGGGATTCTCCCTGTTGTGACTGAAACTTAGGACAGGAAGTCAGTTCCCTCATAGCCCCCAGCCCATGGAGAGACAGGATTTTCCAGATAGGTCTTATCACACTTATCTACAATTTGGTTCAAACATGTGATGTGAGGTGCACAGAAAAGGAGTAGTTTTTAGGAAGGTAATGATCTGCTTGGTCTTAAACCAGTTCCATTCCAGTACCCTAACAAAGCAAGGAATATCTGATTATTAAAATCCTTCCCCCTGGTGTTGGGATACAGCTATAATCCCAGCACTGGAAGACTGAAGCAGGAGGATCCCAAATGTGAGTCCAGCCTAGGCAACGTAGACCCTGCCTTAAAATTTTTTAGCTCAGTGCAAAGGCCCTGAGATCAGTCCCCAGTATCGGGAAAATAAGTATTTGTGTAGCCAAGACACATTGTAAAACTGACTCTGGTTGAATCCATCAGTGCAACAGAATAGAGCTCACAGTGGCTGATGCTCACATTTCTGTATTGAAGATATGCTTGCAGATTTTATCTGTCAACAAAAAAAATTTTAATTCCTAAAGTTATATCTCTGTGTAATTGTGTCAGAAGTATTGGGGATTTGGATTGAAATAATCTCTTCCAAAAATGGCAGAGCAACAAGATCCACATACTCAAGACCTCATGGAATTTGCATGTTCACCATAATAATGATCATTTCTTTTATATCAGTGAGCAAATTCTCTAAATCATTAATTTGAAAATATTTAAACTAATTGTGTTTCTAAAGGGACAAGATTATCCTGTTGTAGTATTTCTGTCCTAAATCCTGGATATGATATTCATGTTTGATTTTCCATAACATTATAATAAGTCTCTAATGTCAGAAATGCATGTTTGAAGCTGGGCGTGGTGGCACGCGCCTGTAATCCCAGCACTCAGGAGGCTGAGGCAGGAGGATCACTGCGAGTTCGAGGCCAGCCTGGGCTACAAAATGAGCTCAAGTTCAGCCTGAACTGCATAGTGAGACCCTGTCTCAAAAAGACCAAAAAAAGGGGCTGGGGATTTAGCTCAGCGGCAAATCGCCTGCCTGGCAAGCGCAAGGTCGTGAGTTCGGTTCCGGGTACCAGAGAAAAACCAAAAAAAAAAAAAAAAAAGCATATGTGAGTTTTCGTTTTTATTGGCAACTGAATAGGTTTTTGGTATTGTACTATTTTTAGTCTAAAATATGGAAAGAATATTGTTTATATATAAATGGATAAATTATTACCAGCTGTAATTTAAGCTAAAATACAACTATTATAGGATCAATACAGAAGAAAAAAAGTTTCAAATCAACTATAATTTAAAAAATACAAAATCTGTAACACTTACCAGGATGTTTTGCTTATCTTCAATATTTGTAATATTTTTCTACTGTTAGCAAAATATCTACTCTCAAGCCAGCCTTTATTTGAACTGTATTATACTTCAGAACCTTCAGAAATGAGAAAATAATAAATAGCATTACACAGTTTTTATTACTTTTTTATTCAATAGTAAAATGTTCATATGGACACTAGTTTGGAATAACTTTGATTTTTTTTCTGTATCGACATAAACATTTCTAACTATCCACTGAATAAAGAATTTATTTACATTGAGGAGAGTCGTGCCACAAGTTTGAGAAAGCATGTGTAGTACATGTATGTATATATGTGCATGTATGCCATACACATGCATGTGTAAAGAGCACGGGGATTCAAAGGAGTAGGTCCAGTTCAAGAAGTGTAGACCATGTTGATACGATCATCCATCTCTGGATCTCAGTAAACTTAGAATCCTTTTCTTGGGCCAAAGAAAATGTCATCAGACTGTGAATCTAAATTGCTGTGCCTCATTTTCTTACCTAATATTTTAAAGTATGAAAAAGGTCTGTATCCAAAGTGCTGTGGTAAAGCGTAGCAGCTTTCCAGTACTTACTTTTCTCACCTCCTTGAACAGCTTATTAGCCAAAATACCCTTTGCAGTGATCGGCCATACCTGTTGCTTAAAGTGGTTCTTAAAGCAAAGAAAACATTCAAAGTTGTAATATTCTCTATAAAAATCTCTATAAAGGTTTCATGCCTTTCTTTGGGTTTGTGTTGCCATTTTGATTGCCTAAGACATACAGATACAAGGACAGTTGAATTTCTTTCTTAAAAGCTGTGAAGTGATGACAGAACGAAGCGTGGAGTGGAGGCCGCGTCTGGTTCCTGCCGGCTCCCTGGCCCTCCGGCCGTGCCCGCCGGAACGCGGGAGCGAGTCGGAGACTGTGAGCGGTGCTCGGTCCCCTCCGCGCTCACCGAGTGCGCTCGTTGTTTCTCCTACCGAAATACACCGTCCGCGGTGTAGCGCAGCCTGTTCTTAAAGCAGGTCGCTCGACCACATTTCACTCATTCCCACGAGAAAAGCAGCAGCGCTGCCGTGTGTATTTTGTGTCTGGTGAATGTAAACATGGCCACCTTCATTTTACACGAGTTCAAGCTTCGAGTTTCCCAGAGAGAAAGAACCGCTCTCTCCGCCTACCCCTCCTCTTCCCTCCGGACACAAACCGAGTGGGCCTCAGCACTCAGGCCTGCACTGTGTCTTCTCAGCTTCATCCGCCCCTCTGTCCGCCTCTGGCCAACCACTGCCGGGTGGCCTCGGCTGTGCGCCCGCCCCGCGCCTGCTCCCAAATTTCAACTCCTTGCTCCAAGCGGTTTCCCCCCGCAGCGCCGCTCCGCAAAGCGAGGTCCGCTCCCAGAGGAGTTCTGCAGAGGCTCCGAGGGGACCGCGAGGCCACATGTGTTCTTCACCGCGAGGACAGGCACACTGACGTTGCACGCGCTAGGTCGAATTGCTGACAGCACCTTCAGGAGCAGGGGTGCCATGTGCTCGCAGTTTTCTAAAACCAGTTTCACTTGCTTGATAAAGGCAGGAAAAATTATTAACCGTATTAATCGCAGCCTTCAGAAGCAAAACATCTTAATACACCTTGTGACTAGAGGCAAAATGTGCATAAAGCACTACACAATTGTAAGCTGAAAAACTGCTTTTTTCATGGAACCCATTTTTGCCTGAAAGAACAGCTGACAGACAAATTACTGGAATTAAAAAAAAGAAATTTAGAGTGAATTACCTCCAGAAAAAGAAATAATATTCTGAGCCAAAAGTAAAATTTTGGAAAACTTATACCTACTACAGTGAGCATGACAGCTTCCCCAGTACTTAAATTCTTTCCTGATGAGAGTAGTGGCGATAACAACTCGTTTTTGATACTGCATAATGAAATGTGACAATACTTGGAAGATCTATTTAATTCAGCCATTGCCAAATGACCAGTGCATGTTATAATGAAGGTATGCACTTAAATGTAAAAGAGATTAATGGGTTTTAGCATAACAGTACTCAGAGTTTATTTGGTATGATTTTATCTTGTGCACTGCAGCAAACTTTTCAGAAACTAGCACTTGTCAACTTTATATAAGTACTGCAAATAGCCATGATCATCTGAAAAGACTATTATAGTATTCTCCGTTTTTCCAATGACATGTCTGCATGAGGCCAGATTTTCTTCTAAGGCCTCCACTAAACCTATCTCAAGAGAGCGAGTGCAACAATAGATATGAAAACCCAGCCGTTTTCTATTAAACTAGAAATTGGCAAAAATGCAGAACAAATGCCACTCTTCTCATTATATTTGTTTTAGAATATATAGTTTATTATTTTTAGAAAAATGTGATAATCTATAATGGTTTAAGTTTATATGGTATCAATGTATATTTTCAATGTTCTGTTTTGATTTCTAATATCATTAGATATAACTACCCAAAACAGTTGTTTAGAGTACACGAGCACTTAAGAGTGTGGGAGTCCTGAGACCAAAAATGTTGAGAACTTTTACACAACCCTGATTACCTTCCTGCTTATACCCCACCCGAGCCTAAAGTTCGGATTTCTCACCTTCTTTTTGCTGTACACTTTGTATTTCCCATTTAATACCTTGTATTGTAGTTATTTATGTGCTTATTGTATTCTTCTTGCAAAAGTAAAGTCTCACGGGGGAAACTCTGAGATGATTGTGCCACTAACTTCCGGGCCACTGTGAACCACCATGTCTTTGGGTTTATCTGTAATGAGAATTAGATGTAATGATGTACAAATTTTCTTCTTGAAAGGTTGAAGTGGTATGAATACTAGTCTCTAAAGAAGCACTTGGAGGACCCAGTGTTGTGCCAGCTGTGTGGCAGCTGTGCCACCTTAGTGGGGAAGAGCCTAGAGTCAGGGCTTTGAGACACAGGTTTCAAAATGACATCATCTCTGTCCTCTCAGCCTGCAGGCAGTGGCAGGAGGAAGGAAAGCATTATTACTGAGGTGGCATGTCGCAGAGAAAAGTAGATGGCTCCTTAACAGATGACAGCTGTTAGTTGAGCGGGACAAGCTTCTTCCTCAGATGACTCTGAAGTTGCCATAACATCAGGACAGAAGGAGAGGGACTGGAATAGAAGGCTGGCTAGCAGGAGTTCGTGGGGAAGTGAGGCCGCAGACACCTTGGTGTGTTCGAGGAACCACAAGTAAGCTTGATTTTTACAGAGGAGGTGGGCAGACAACAGCAAGAGCTGAGGCTGCACTGGTGAGGTAAGTCGGATTGAATTAAATCTGTTCCGTATAGTCCCGTGGACATAAACTGAAGCAGCTGAGAGGAGATGACAAGCACTTCTGTCAAGTCACACGTACTCTGGTAGTTTCATTCAGGAGGATTGCTGTTGGACTCCGGAGAAGAGTAACGCGCCTTTCTTTGAATGAAAGCCCCGTCTTTTTGTTTTGTTCTGTTTTTTGTTTTTTTCCGGTACCGGGAATCGAACTCACGACCTTGCGCTTGCCTGGCAGGCACTGTGCCGCTGAGCTAAATCCCCAGTCCCTAAAGCCCCATCTTTTAGGGCAGGTCTGGGCATGAAGAGTACCTTTACCGTACAGGCAGCCCAGAAGGGTTGGCCAATGGAGTCCATCAGAGGGCGCCAGTGGGGGAGGCTGGGGACAGCAAGACGTGAGGAAGAGGATGCGGCCTGGAAGGAGCTTACTTCCCAGCAGTAAGGACCAGCGCGCCGGGGGCATCGCCCTGCTCAAGACCTCACGGACTGACCTCTCCCAGAAAGAAGGGGTTTTCCAGATGTCACTCAGAGGCCTGACTCTGGTCTGGGTGGCAGCTCAGGCTGCTAGGTGCCCTTGGGGGTTTTGTTTTCTTTTGTGCATTTTGTGTCCAGGTCAGCAGTTTACATCCTTTGCTCTCAGTTTTGAATAGAATTGATTTAAATAAAATCTAAATTAAGAGACTGCTGAGTTCATCTCTGGCCACAGGAGTACACAGCACCCAAGAGAAAAATGTGCTAAAGTGTAGTCATTGTCTCCGACACCACACAGGCAGTGAGCCCATGAGAGTGAGGCCTGGGGACTTACTTTCCCCAGACAATGCACGTTTTTGTACTGGTGCCTATTAATTTTACAGAACATTGGGCTTCGGTGCTTAGACTTTGATCTATCCCGCGTTGCGTTTCTTCCACTCCTCTTCCCCTTTCCTGGCCTCCCT